ATAAAAGAACCATTTTATTTAAATTTGTCACGCGTCGGCAATTATTAAAGTTGGTGAGTGGTGGGAGGGGGAATGATTGAATAATTTCGGTCCCTTGGAAGATTCGGCGGGTGTACTCTCTTGAGTCTTCTGGCGGTGTTGAAGTTGTCCAGCAGGCCAACTGCTAGGTTGTTGTTGTGCAGGTGGAGTCTATGCAGATATCAGCTGCTGCTGTTGGCTATCTCGTCACTGATTCATGGGATCTTGAGAACACGTGGAAGCGTTGTCATGGTAAATATGTGCATTGGAAACGATGAGCAGTGCCTTGTTTTGCAATATCTGAATCAATCTTAGGTTGCTTCGGCTGGCAGTGCCCCATAACTGAATGCCGTAAGTAAAATATTCAAATGTTTTTTTTTCCACTGAGTACCATTGAGTACTATTGAGTACCGTTAAGTACAATGATATAGTGTTTCCAAGTGGTTCGGTGTGAATCAGCTTCAATCTGAAAATACAAAATGCGTGATGATATAAAATGTTAATTATAGTATTGTTTTTACAATTATGATAATAACTAGAGGGTATTCCCCGAAGTTGCCGTTGTCAAATTTTGTGATTACAATTTTAAGCTACTTAAGATTTTTTCACCCACTTGTCCATTGAGTAAGTACCAAAAGTTGAAATCAACGACCTCTGGCCGCTGTTTTTTTGTCTTGTCTTGTTGAAAATCTTGAGGCCGGAAAACAAACTTTCTTTCATTAAGCCCTTGACACGCATTTTCCATCCAAGATTGGTGAATTTTTCATTAGAAACCTGTCTAATTAATTTTCACCCTATAGGAAATGAAAAAGTTGCAAATTTTCTGTCAAAGTTTCACACACGCATTCATTTAGTTTTTATGTAGTGCTTTAAAAATAATTTTATAATAATAATAATAATAATAATAATAATAATTATAATAATAAAAGTATTAATAATAATTTTAATAATACTAATAATAATAATAATAATAACAATAATAATAATAACAATAATAATAATAATAATAATAAAATTAAATAATAATAGTAACAATAATAATAATAATAATAATAATAATAATAATAATAATAATAATAATAAAAATAATAATAATAATAATAATAACAATAATAATAATAATAATAAAAGTATTAATAATAATTAAAATATTAATATTAATAATGTAATAATACTTGCCGACCGTGAGACCGAATCACAATGTTTTCCATGTTAAATATTTTGTGAATTTCCTTGTACTCAGTACGCAGTCACATCCAATTTAAGAATAAATGTTTTTTTCTGATTGTCTTTAGTTTATGTTAATAAACACTCACATCAACCTTATGCGAACCGCAATGAATAAATGAAGCAGTTTTATTTATACGTTTCAGCTTAGCAATGGTGAGCTAATGCCACTTATTTATATATTTATATTATAAATATTTATATTATATATATATTTATATTATAATTATAAAAGTTTGTCCTGACTGACTGACTGATTGGTGATTTACTGTAGTAACCTTCTGTGATGAAGGTGGACATTGAGACGGGGCTTCGGGAAATTCCAAACAAAAATAGCGGAAAACGTTTGTATGAAACTTTTTTGATTACCATCCGATCAGCCTCAAGCTCAATTTTAAAGATCTTTGTTCAAATTCACTTGAGGGATGTTTCACTCTATTTGGAAAATCCATTACTCCTTCGTGGAAATGAAAAAGGATCTATATGAAAAATCATTTGAGACGTGTTGCACATTTTTCGCAAAATCAGAATGAAAATCGGTGAAAAGTTAAATTTTTTAAGTTTTGTCCGATTTTTAACTTATTTTCATAGCTCTACATAAGAGCTGAATGAATATGCGTTTCAGCGATTTGGGGAAGTATGGAGACATCTCCGGTCCCATTAAGTATATATATTTTTAATCAGTATCAATAGCCGAGCGGATATAGCCATATCTGTCTGTAGTCAATCAGTTTGTAGTTACACCTTTCTATTGCATGATGCACAATCGTCGGAACTGGCCGGATCGGAGCACCTTATCACATATGTAGCTGCCAAAAAATAAGCACTTGTATGAAAATCTTGCTGATTATCAAGTTATCTTGACCAAGCTCGTCGTTTATTTTCCTTACAAATGCGCCAAATCTTGTCAATAGTTAACTTAGTGTTGTTTCTCCTCATGATACAAGAGAATTCCTTGTTAGCCAGTGCAAATATGATTTCTTGTAAAAAAAACGTTAGTTCAATACCTTTAATAAAGAGCTTCAGGCCTCTGCTGCCATTCAATTGGTAGACTTTTGTTAAGATAGCTTTAAAATTGATCTTCAGTTTGAATATGTACTAATAATATGGCTAATATTTGGGGTCCTTTGTTACGCCCTGTTCACTTTGTTGTGCCCTGTACCCGCTCGAAATGCTTAGGGAAAGGCATAAAACTTAAAAATTATAAGATAAGAATTACAAAACATCGAATTATAAGATGTCGGCTTACGTTTAATATATATTTCACTCTTTGGATACCTTCCTTATTCCAACCAAATTAAAAAAAAAAAAAGTTTGATGCGTATTTATGCACTTTACATTTCATGAAGGATAACAAAATGAAGTTATTCAACTTTTAACTTCCAAGAAAGGGGCACAGGCGGAAGAAGCAGCCAGCTTGGACGCACATAAGTTTTTATATTATGCAAAAATAATTTTAAAAAATTGCATATTGGACTCTATTTTTATGATTTTAAGAACTCAAAACGGATCCTAAAAACAGACATATAATATTGGCTGAGGGGTACTGATTTTGTCAAAAGTACTTCGTGCTAGTCGTGGAGTTTCGTGCCACGATATGATTCTTGCTCGAAGTTCAAAAATTATTTATGCTAGGAAGTTGGGAACTCACATATGACAATGCGACTGATAAAAGCTTTACAATGTTTTTGCCAAGGCCGTCGAGGACGTGGTCAGCGCCAAATGTCCATAAACTGAAATAAACGTGATTGAAATCCCCGGAGTATTCACACTGCCAACACCTCGTCAGTTTGTAGAACATACATACACATACATATGTATGTACACACATCCTTATATATGTTTGTGTCCACATATGTATATAAGTATGTTAGGCTCACATTATCAACTGTCAAAGTTGGGGAAACACGTTATGGAAGAGCATTAGGCTAATTAAGTAAAAGGACCTATGCAAGTCTAAGGTGACTTTTGGCATGTATCTGTTCATCTTTATGTGCATATGAATATGGCAGGTTGACCTTTCGACCTTGAATTAGCACAAAACGCATGAGGATTGGTCCATCCATCAAAAACTTCAAAGACTTTTGTCTGGCATAATAAGCAATATTTGACGTCAGAACTTGGGATATTGCGTCGAAAAAGCTAATTTATGTATTAGACATACTTATTTTATGCACGCGTTAGTCGAATCTCATGGAAATCATCACACAGTGCAGTGGAGTGCATTTCACTTTACCATGACAAGGAACGCCCGCGGCGAAACTGTTGTCATATTTTGTAAATTTATACGTTATGGCTACCAACTGTGTGGCATGTGCATATTTTGATGTTATGGACAGCAAAGACCACGAGCACACAAAGTAAAAGCTAAAGCCATCTCATGTCATGTTGTCCTGTTAGCATTAGTCCTTTAAATTTCCAGGACATCGACTCATATGCATATATTGCCCATATGGTGCTTTTGAACTGAACATTATTCTTATTTTTTATCGAGCTTAAGTGTATCAATATCCGATTGTATCCGATGCAAATATGCAAAATAGGCAACAAGAAAGATGTACTATCTTCGTTATGCCGAAGATTTTATACCCTTTTAGCACTAGCTTTACTGCTTGGCAGATATTTCAGTAAGTATCTTAGATAACAGAATGTTTTGCCATACAACTCAAAACATTTCTCTATCGATAGAACTATATAATATAAATATAAGATCTTCATAATGTTTAAGCAGCAAACAGAAAATCATAAATGCCGGATTTGGTAAAAATATCTTGATAAAGAAAAAAGTTGCTCATACAAGAACTTAAATTTCGACCAATAGTGCTCACATTTTGATAAAACTGTGAATATATGCAAAGAGCATAGTGAAACTAGCAGATGCACAGTTTGGTTCGGATATCCTGAAAAGTAGAAAAATGTATTCTAACAAGAACCCATCATTTTTATTATATTATGAAAAAATTACAAGATAAGCCAAAGCCTAATAGCGGACAGAGGGACATTAATATTCAAGGGTAGAAAGTTACATAAAAATGGGTATGAATAAAAATTAACAGCCACACTCGACTATATTATGCAAATATGTACAATTCGCGTTTGCGAATTAAATCTAGCGCACAACATAATGGGTTTTTCGTCAGGTACAAACATAATTATTTGATATTCTCTGATATGGTAGGGATCGTTAACATTGTCTATTTACTGTCCCCTCTTCTAAACCTCTTCCATCTATCCAATTCCCTGCTCCAATGCTACAATTTTTGCTGTGCTGGAGACTTCTATATCCAGCTTCGGCAGGACCCCATTTATTTCAGCTCGCAGTACATTTTTTTGGTATGAACATTGCGACAAATACAATTTGAAAATTGGCAAGATTCTTGCAGCTTCAGCAAGAAGAGTAATCTAAAAAAAAGTTGAAAAATGTTGAAATCATTGAAAGCAGCAAATTTCAGAAATTTAAATGAAAATGAAAAGAGCGTATTCGCAATCCTAGCAAGTTATTGTTTAACCGGGCTGAAACACGAATTTATTGCAACTCATCTGAAGCCAAGAAACAGTCGAAACAGTCCACTTTCGGGGTAAACGTGTGCTTAAGAAGCCCAAGGAAAGTCTGTATTCTTATCATGGCTGCAAGCCAAACAAAAGTTCGTTATACTTTAAGTAATCTAAAGTTTCGCGCTTGTAAGATATAAGTATAATAAAAACAACAACCTATACGTTTCCCTAGTTGTATTGACCGACAGGTAAACCAAATTCAGCCTCCTTACATCAACTAATTCTTTATTACTTAAAACGCATCCAATTATGTAAACAGTACATTATGTAGCTTGTATATCAAAAATAAAAAAAATTAAGACAAATAAAAAGCACTGAATCTTCAGCTAATTGTCTTGATTTTCCTCATCGTTCTTCCTTCCTTTCTTATTTCTTATTTTGGTCATCAGATTCGTTAGCTACTTTGACCTTTTTCAGTGCCGAAGTTTTGCGTACTTTTTTTGGCGGCACATCGGTCTCCTCGGCAATGTTCTCGTCAACCACTTCCTTTGAATCCGCCGCTTTTAGAGCATTTCGCTTCTCGCGAAGCTCTGCCTTGCGCTTCACCTGATCCGAAGTTAACTTGACGAAGCCAACGTCCTTGGTTAATGCGAACTTAGTTAGCACCTCATTCGCCTGTTTCTTCAACTTAAGCATCCGCTGCTCGCGTGGACCAACTACGTACGGCGTGTCCGCGGGCGGCGCACACATGCTGATGTATAAGGGCAGCGCCGTTGTTCCGACAATATCAATCTTTAAATACATCGAGCGTATGTTGGCCAACCCGCCAGGGTACTGTTGCTGCAGCTGCTGGATGACGAACAGAATGTTCTCTGTAAGCTCTTGGCCGCTGTGCTCATGATTGCCCACTGGTATGGTCGTTAGATCACCCTTCCGCAGCTGTCTGTAAGCAGTCCGGCAGAGAGCGCGCGAAATCTCCTTCGGCAACTGGTCTTCTTTGCTCAGGCGAACCGCGTGCAGCACATTACGGGGCTTCTGTGTAGCCTACATCCAATATTGGATTAAGATTAAAGCAGCTGTAATAGGAAAAGTAAAAGGTAACAGGTAACTCACCTTGCCGAGAAAAGCGCTAGCCTGGCCGGATATGCGTCCGTCGCAGAGTAAGTAGTCATAGCTATTCAGGAACTTGCGCTTAGCCTCAAAAGTGCCCATATCGTTGCGTAAGCGATTAAACGGCACTACCGTTAAACGCTGCTTGACGCCGTGCTCCCGCAACAAATCCTCATAGTGTTGCACGGTGGGCTCATAGTCACAGCGCGCTCCGCGCTGCAGGTCAGTCACAATCAGGGCAACGTCATCCTCGGCACCGACTAGCGAGTGCTTCAGCGCCAGCTTTGCTACTCGCTTCGGGCAGCTGGGTATCTTATAGCAGCACACCTGTAGCATGTAGCGGTAGTCGCTGAAAATGGGCTTTGCTTTGTGGTTTTTCACCTCCTCGGCCACCTGGCTCATCAGCGCAGAGCACACCTTCTGCACATTTGATTCGCTGACAATTTCATGAAATTTATCCTCGTCAAACGGATTTAACTCATAGTTTAGCTCCACGTCTTTCTGTGCCTTCTTTTTCGCGGCAATTGTTTTTTTCGCACCCATTTCTTTCACATTTTTATTTTTTACAGCCTTTGACAGTTTTTTGTTAGTCAGTTTAGCCTTTTTCTTTTCGCCGAGTTTCTTTATTGCTACTTTTGGTTCTTTTGCCAACGGTGGCTGCTTCTTAGAACTCCTTGTAGTTGATGCAGCAGACTTATTATCTTGCTTTTCGGGTTTCCTGTTAATTGCCGCTTGTGTTTTAGGCTTCGGCTTCTCCACGGATTTCAATATCGGTTCCTTTTCGTTCTTCTTAATTTTAAGTGTTTTTGTCATTTTGGGGGCAGCCGCCGGCACCGCCTTTTTGGCTACTTCTGGAGCAACCGGCGATTCTGGTGGTGCCAAAACCAACGGCTTCTTGGCTGGCTTCGACTTTTGCGGCAGCTTGACTTCTTTGAGCTTGGCTTCAATTGCTTTGGATTTTGTTCCCTCCAGAATGGTTTTCATGTTTTTGCCGTCAACTGTAATTGCGGCAGATTGTTTTGCCTTTGCTGTAAGTTTGGTTTTGTTAACCTTTTGTTTTTCCTTAGAAACGCCGTCATCTTTCGTTTTCTTCTTTAGAGATTTTGGCAGCGGTTTTTGTACTTTAACCATGACTGATTTTCAAATGCAGTAAAAATTGAATACAAAATTCGCTGAACAACACGTGCAGTGTACAAAATTATCGTACAAAAAGTGCCTAATCGATATCGTTTTCCTAAATATCGTTAACACAGTTTCGATTATTGCAACAGTGCTGCAAAACGTGCTCTTAAATATGTATCGTACTAATACTATTTCTATTTCTATATAGCAAAAGGTACTTCTGTTAAAGAAATATGCTTTATAATATATTAAAGCCACATTCTGTGCAGAAATGTGTGTGCGTCATTCGCACGCCATAAATAGGATTATCATACTCCTATTACTTTAAAGGTCGGCTAAAAATATCGCAATTTTGCGATGGCACAAGTGCCTAATTGCCCCAGGCCAAGTCCTTGGGAATACACACGCCCACAAAATTTGGACTGCTCGACGCGTGCCATCTCCCATGGTGCCTAAAATTATAGTTTCCTAGAAACCCAGCGTAGCTACAGAAGCTTGGGATGCGACTCATTTATTGGCACGTGACGAATGCTGCGCGCCTCATGTATTTCGACGTCATGAAAACTCAAACTAATAACAAAACTGTTGCAATATACGTCCAAATAACATTTACATTAAGAAAGGGCAATTGCCAGAAAGTTTTATTTAACGCTTCGGCAATTCCGCAAAGCAGCTCAGTGAAGTATCTTGGCTTACAGTTCGATCGGAGACATGGAAAATTCATATAAAGGCAAAACGGCAGCAACTTAAATTAAAGACACAACGAATGTCCTTGCTGTCAGGCCGAAAATATCAAACTAGCCTAGAAAACAAAGTTCTCTCCTCTTTAAAGCCATACTCAAGCCTGTGTGGACGTATGCTTTACATATGTGGGGTACTGCTATCAACCCGAATATTGAGATTATTCAGCGATATCAGTCAAAAACATTGCTCCTTTCTACATATCTAATGCAAAAATACACAAAGATCTAAAAATTCCCTATGTAAAAGAATACATTAATAATATTAGTACAAAATACATTGATAGACTTCACAAACACCAAAATAACCTGGCCTTAAATCTAAAAGATAATAGTCTAGCAGTAAGAATACTTAAAAGAGCGCATATTCTCGATCTCCCGGATAGATAATTTAAATAAGTAGAACTTCAACCTTACATACAAAATAAGTCAAATATAATAGTAGGTTTCACTGGAAACTTTTTTTTTGATAATTTATGTATATAATTATCATTTATAAGCTATTTATATGGTTACAATTTCAGTTTTTTTGCATTGACTTCGGAAGTAGCCTTTTTGGGACGTTTACTGCCAGCGGAAGCTGACGTGGACGAAGTTTTGTCCTGCAGTTTATTAAAGAACGCCTTTGAGGATTTCAGTGCGCCCTGATCGTTGCTCATGGTAATCTGCAATTTAGATATGAAATATATAAATATAAATTATAGTTTATAAATTGTTTGCTAGCGACCAACCTTATGTACGTTGCGACTTTTGGTTATGGTTTTAAGCAGCTTAGAGTTTGTTTCTCGTTGCGTAGGCGCTTTGCCTTCCTTGGCGCGCTGCTGTTCTCGCTGTTCGATTGTTGTATTGATAGCGCGCTGTTTTTGCTTCTTCTTTCGACGCTCGCGGTTTTTGTCGGTGCGTGTGCGCTCTGTCTTGCCCAGCGGAGTGTGCTTGGGACCACGGAATACCTCCTCTGGAGCCAGAAGCTTGACATCGCTGACTGCCAGTGGGGCAACCTCTTCCATTTGAACGGCGGGCGTGTTAGTTACAATTTTCGCTTCGGGCGCTACTGGCTTGGGTGTGAAATGGAAGTTGGATAGTGCATCAAGCTTGAGGAATAGTGAGCGCATTGCACGTTTAATTTCTTGATGCTCCTTTGGCTCCGGCGCCGCGCTATCATTGTCATCACGATTGGGATTCAACTTTTCTAGCTCGCGATGGTATTGCTGCTCATAAATTTGGGCCAGCGACTGCTTTGACTTTTCCTGATCGAGCACAAGTTGCTTGCGGTATTCCTGTGGAGTGTGCACCGGTCGCACCGTGCGCTCCACATCGTCCCAGGCCTTGTCGCGTATGCGCTGCTTGATTATGTCCTCGATGGTGTGATTTTGCTCGTCCGTAAGTGGAGCTGAGGGTCGTGCCGCCGAGTCAAATTCGAGTATCTCCTCAAGCAGTGAGTTCTGGGGTCGATTTCCTGCTTGCACTTCACCTTTCAGCTGCCACGGCTTCTCGCCTAGCACCACATCCTCATAGTCTCGTATGCGCTGCAGCAGACGCGCCTCCCGCAGTTCATTAGACGACTGTGCCTCCATTGCGGTCTCCTCAGCCTCATCCTCGGAGCTTTCTCGGTTGGATTCCGACTCGAGATCACTGGCAGGTTGCACACCACTTTGGGCCACAAAGTCAGCTTCGTCGATTTCACTCGCTAGATCCTCCTTAGAGTCATCATTATTTGGCTCATTGTCTTCTTCATCATGCTCGCTTTCGCTTTCATTAAAATAATCTTTTTCTGTAGCTGCTTTGAGTTTGTGGGCCTTTTCCTGCAGTTCATCATCCATCTCGAAGAAATCGCCAAAGGTCGCATTAGCCCCATCCTCGTCATCGTCTGAATCCTCGAGGACTCCAAAGTCTTCAGCGAAATGATTAATGGCATCAGTTTCGTCTACCGAATTATTATTTTTGTGCTTCCGCATCTCTTTAGCATCTTCCTGTTCCAAAAACTGCTTCATTTCATCCAGCTTAAAAAATGTGTCATCGACCACAGAACTTCTGCCCTTTTTGGACCGCTTCGCCTTGATTTGGCTGGATTTTGTTGTTGACTTCTCTTTATCAATATTATCAGAATCCTCTAGCTCTGATTGATGTTCCTCATCTTCGGCTTTCTCCCCCGTGCTCTCTTGCTCACTTGTCTGCTCATTCGGATCCTCATCATCGTCCAGTTCAATGCCCAAATGCTGCTCCCCTATGTTTAAAAGCTGGGCAGTTTGTTTTGATAGATTTCCCAGCACAGAATTATTCCGCATCTCGAGCTGTTGCCAGATTTGTTCATCGTCCATATCTTCCAAAACAAGCTTAGACGGAAAGTCTTGGTTACTGTCCACATTGCTTCTAATGCACACGCTATATGTTTGCTGTATTAGCTGATATATGGCCTCAATGGACTCCGTTTGGGGCCTACAACAAAGCAAAAAAATATTCGTATTAGCAACACGTGCACTTAGGAAACAACATAAACTAACTTTAGATATCGATCCGGGTGTCTAACCAACTGCTCAAAGTTTTCTGCTAATTCCTTAAAAGTATCTCGCTTGGACTTCTTCTTTGAGTAAACATTCCCCTCCATTCCTGACTTGTCAACTTTTACAACTTATTAAACAAATAACAGACGAAATCCGCAACAATATGACTTTAAATTCCAAAATGAACAAAACGTCTTGAACTAAATGAACGATTTGTTCGTTCACCAGAATTTGAACGGTAGAACTCAGTTCTTCAACGGAACTAGAAAAATATATTACATATCTCAAAAATGTTAATTTAAACAAATATTTAAAATGTAAATTCGGCAGAACTTTTAAATCACTTTATCAATCCAATGTTAATTTCTAATTGTTTTTAAAAATTTTTACTGTCTTAATAAGTTTTGAACTAGTTCAAAAGATTATAACTCAACACAACGATACTTAGTCAAAAACATGCATGTACCGGCAGCAATATATATCGATAAATTTGTTTAATGTTTTAAAAAAAATACCAGAACCTACACTATCGAAGTATTTAAGTTTCTAATTCACAATAGCATAATCGATTTGGTTTCTGCTGAAGTTATCGATATCGAATGCTGTGCCGCTGGAGTTTACTGCGATTCAGAAAAATGTCCATAAAAGCTGTGCTCATAGATCTTAGTGGTACTATTCACGTGGAAGATGAACCAACGCCTGGCGCTGTTGTGGCATTGCAAAGGTACCTAAAGCTGTAAGATAAATATAATTGATAATAACATACATTAATTATCTTGAAGATTGCGCAGCAGCGGCATAACCGTTAAATTTGTAACAAACACCACAAAAGACTCGAAAGCGACACTCTACGAGCGGCTAGTCAAAATTGGCTTTCAACTGGAAGTCGCGGAGATTTACAGCTCGCTGAGCGCGGCAGTTGCATTTGTGTCAAATGAGAAATTGAATCCTTTCTATTTGCTTACAAATGATGCACGCAAAGATTTCCCCGAAGAGGACCGGAGCCGGCCTCACGATGCGGTCGTCGTAGGCCTGGCGCCCAATGCATTTGATTATGAGCACATGAATAAGGCCTTCAAGTAAGTGTTGCGTCAAACAAAAGAAGTGTGCATCAGCAGTCGGTCTTTAGGTGTTGCCCTCTTTTCTTACAGTGTGCTGCTGCAGAATAAAACGCACAAGCTTGTTGCAGTGCATCAGGGCAAGTATTATAAACGCGCGGATGGGCTGGCGTTGGGACCAGGCTGCTTTGTCAAGGGCTTGGAGTACGCGACGGGCAGCACGGCGACACTTATAGGCAAACCCAATTCCTACTTTTTCCAAAGCGCCCTGCCTGACGGCCTTAGAGCCGAGGAATGCGTAATGATTGGTGATGTAAGACATGCATCATATATTTAAGATTGGATGAAATTTATTAATGAAATTATTGCGCTTTCCAGGATGCAAATGATGATATTGCTGGTGCCATGCAAGTGGGTATGCAGGGCATACTCGTCAAGACAGGCAAATTCTTGCCGGATGCTCTGGCAGCGATCTCACCGCCACCCACGGCTGTGGTCAACAATTTCGCGGAGGCAGTCGATTGGATATTGTGCAAAAAGCAAGGTAATTAGTTTTATGTTCAATTTGAAAAAAGAAAACGGACCTTGCTCAAACGTCAGCAAAATATTTTTTTGAGTTCAAATATGTATATAACGGTTGTTTTATAACAGTTGAACTGATTTCGGCGCGTTAATAAATTCTCTGGCAATTTGTATAACAGAATACAGCATTATAACAGTTTTAGTTACCAACTGAAGGATACCCTAGTTCAAAGCCTAGTTATTCATTTGCAAAGATATACTCCAGTAATTGTAATAATTAATCGCTATTCCGGATTTTCAATATTTTCGGAAAGATTAATTGTAAGAAACGAACCGGAAACAGGTTTACCTACAAAACTAGAGTGGGGATTTCTAGTTAAATTTGCTGAATAAGTTCACTCGTTAATTTTCTGGCCGTGAACTAAATCGGTCATTTAGTTCACTCGTTCAGCTATTCAGTCGGTCATGAACGATGACCTCGGCTCAGCTATTCAGTCGGTCATGAACTATTAGTTAGTTCAGTTAAGCAGTCAAATCAAAATTGAAGTTAAATCCCTCTATCTTTTATGTTTATTAAGAACTGATCATCTAAAAAGAATATATCGTTCAGTAACGGCTGAACTGCTGAGTTGCATACAACGTTCATGACCGACTGAACGAGTATCAAGAATGTTCATGACCGACTGAACGAGTACAGAATACATCGTTCATGACCGATTTAGTTCATTAATCACTGAATAAGTTTAGTAGTTCATTTTAATAACCCGTTCAATCGAACTTGGTCTGAACTAAACGATACACGTCTATACAGAACCCAAAGACCAGGAACTTTAAAACTTTTTTTCCTCAATTCCAATCAATTCCAATCTGTAATTCCAATCTGTAATATATTATAACAACAATTCTCAAACAACATTTTGTTCGCCAATAATTAGAAAATTTAAAAATGTTTAATATTATTTTTATAAATAAGCAAAAATTCACTTGAAATGCAGCATATTTGACCATTCGTAACAGTCTACAATATATTTGTTGTTTCGTGTAATATGAATAGTTTGTTGAGTATGCAATTGTGGTATTGGATGCGATTTAGTTCAGCTTTGTCTGGGCAAATTTACTGGCCAATTGCACAATCTCATCGACGCGCTCGAAGTTGCTGCCGGAGGCCTGAGCAGACTCGGGTTTGCCGCCACCCTTGCCGCCCAAGACGGGTGAGACATGCTGCACCCATTCGTTGGCCTTCAGACCCTTCTCCACGGCGCTCTTGGGCACCGAGCACAGGCAAAAGATCTTCTTGGAGTCGGCATCGACGGAAACGAACATGGCCGCAGCGTCTGGCAATTGAGAACGCACCTGCTTCAGGGCAGCGTCCAGCGCCTTGGTATTGTTATACGCCTCCAGTTGCTGGACCAAAACATTTGCCTGGGGATTGGCCTCACACAAGGCCTTGGCGCGCTCCACAACTGTAACTGAGACGGCGGCACGCAGTGCACGCTCCTTATCATCGAGCGTCTTCTTCAGCGACTTGAGCAGATTGCGCATCTCGTCCTTCTTCACATAGGGTATGGTTGCATGCGATATTTGTTCGGTTAGTTCGACAATTTGCTTCACATACAGCTTGGAATCCTTGCCAGTCTTGTCAGCTTCAATGGTCGCTTGCAGCTTGCTGATTTCCTGCTGAAATGCTTCGGATTTCTTGAGAGCTTTCAGAGCCTCAGGGCCAGTTAGTGCTACAATACGGCGAATGCCCTTGGCTATGGCCTCTTCGCTGCTGATGACAAAGTCCATGATGTGGCCCGAGTTTCTCAGATGTGTGCCGCCACAGAATTCCACAGAGGTTTGCTCACCCGCCTCGGCATCAGGCTGTGCTTCGAGCTGATCGACAGGCACGCCAAACGAGATGACACGCACCGGATCCGGATAGACCTCATCGAAGACCGAGCGCAGACCGCGTATACGCTTGGCCAACGCCAGCTGCGACTCCTTGGCATAGATGGGCATATTTTTGTACACCATATCGCGAGTCAGTTGCTCCGTTTTGGCGACTTGTTTGATGGTCATGGCCGCCTTGCTGTTGAAATCGAAACGAAGTTTCTCTGGCACCACCAGCGAGCCCTTCTGTTCCGTATCCTTGCCCAGCACCTGCAGCAGACAGTGATTCAGCGCATGCGTAGCCGAATGATTCTTCATGGTTAGCCAACGACGCTCGGCATCGATATGCAGCTGCACTTCATCGCCAACTGCCAGAGTGCCTTCGACTACGCCAATGTGGAGTATGTAGCCGCCACGATTGTAAACGCGATCCACCAGAAATTCATTTGCCTCATCGTTCAGCTTGACAAGCGCGCCCTGATCATAGATCTGCCCACCGCTCTCCGCATAGAAGTTCGTCTTATCCAGCACAATGCCGGCCTTCTGGCCGCTGCTGATCTCCTGAACGAATTTATTCTCATACCGCAACGCGACAATTTTGCTGGTACACTCGCTGTAATTGTAGGCGGAGTCGCGCTCATTGGAAACAGCCTCGTATTTGTATTTGAAAGAATCATTTGTGGGCGGCACGCCCTGCTCCTGCAGCTGCGATATGGCATGCACGTCGAGATTGATCTCTTCGATTTTGCTAGCGCCCTTGCCCTGGGAGAGTATATACGAGTTCTGTTTGGCCGCATCGTAGCCAGCCATATCGATCTGCAGCGACTTCTCCTCGGCCATCAGCTGGGTGAGATCCACAGGAAAGCCATATGTATCATACAAACGCCAGGCCACATCGCCGGGTATGGTGGTCTGATTGGCGCCCAGTTTCTCAATGGTGCGATTAAGCAAATTGCGACCACGTGTTAGCGTCTTGAGGAACTGTAGCTCCTCCTCGTTAATGATGTCCATAATTTGCTGTGGATCCTTTTTGACCTCGGGAAAAGCATCGCCCAGCAATTCGACGACTGTGTTCACCAGAGTGGCAAAGAAGCCAGGCTTGGCATTCAGCTTCTCCGTGGCGTAGCTGTGCGGGCAAAGAAGTTATGTTTATTAACGTTTTTTATATATTAATGTTTTTAACCAAAACATACCGCACTGCGCGACGAAGGATGCGGCGCAGAACATAGCCGCGGCCCGTATTGTCGGGATTGCCGCCATCGGCCAAGGCTATGGTTATGGTGCGAGCATGATCGGCCAGGACACGATAGGCCATATCGATGCCATCGGCATCATCGGCGCCAACGCGTCCTTGATAAGCCGGTGCGCCAGTGCCCGCCTGTATGGCATCAAAGAGCGGTATAAACAAATCCGTATCATAGTTGGAGCGTTTATTTTGTATGACCGAAACCAAGCGCTCGAAGCCCATGCCGCAATCGATGTGCTTCTTGGGCAACGGCTTGAGGCTGCCATCGGATTCACGATTGTACTGTATAAACACCAGATTCCAAATCTCTAGGACATCGGGATCATCCTGGTTGACTAGCTCAGGCACGCTGCGTCCGCCGATGCGATCGAAATGCAGCTCAGAGCATGGACCACACGGGCCCGTTTCACCCATTTCCCAGAAATTATCCTTCATGCTGCCGGGCAAAATGTGTTCCGGCTTTAAGCCCAAATCCAGCCACATTTGCTTACACTCCAGATCCGGCTCCAGGCCACTGGCAGCATCGCCGCCAAAATAGGTCACATACAAGCGATCCTTGGGCAAATTCAAACGAACCGTAAGGAATTCCCAAGCCCAGGCGCAAATCTCCTTCTTAAAGTAGTCGCCAAACGACCAATTGCCCAACATTTCAAAGAACGTGTGATGGTAAACATCCTTGCCCACATCGTCCAAATCGTTGTGCTTGCCGCCAGCGCGAATGCACTTCTGCGTGTTCGCTACGCGCACCCATTTGGCCATCTCACTGTTGGGATCGGCTGTGCCTAGGAAAATGGGCTTGAATTGATTCATGCCGGCGTTGGCAAAAAGCAGCGTGGGATCATCCAACGGTATCGTGCTGGAGGAGTGCACATAGATGTGCTGCTTCTCCTTGAAGAAGTTCAGGTAGGTATCGCGCACCTCCTTAGCGGTCAGGAACTTCATGATGTTCTTTTGAATGAATAAAAAACTGTGGGCATAAAGTTGGAGAACGCAAGACAAAGGTTAGTTTTGGCCAATTGCCACGCGACCAAACTGTCTGTATGTACGTATATTCAATGCAAATTGTGAGAAAGTGCACGAATTTACTTTTAACGTGACATAATTGTATAAAATTCAATTGCAAAACTTTCACAAAACTGTTTATTTTATAATACGTAAACAGTTAAATTTGCATTTGCATTTGTATTAGTGGAGTATTACTCACGTCTATAAGAATTGGGTGCAAATACAAAACAATTTCGTCAACCGACTGCAACAACGTGTAAGCCGAACCGATTTCAATGCGGCAAGTTCAGCAAAAGAACCAGTTCAGCTGGCAGCCAGTGCTGAGCAATATCGGCGAACCTGTGACTGAGGAGCTGTGAAACACATCAAAAGTAAAAACCCTCACTCTCGGTCCCGACATGAACTGCCATAGTTGGCTGTTAATATTTGGTAGTTATATACACTTAAATCCCGAATATTTTCAAGCATAATATTAATTACCATTAACGCCAGTGTGACTGCATTGTCTGTGTGTGTGTGTGACTAGTTCACGATTGCAGTCACATCTGAATTAAAATCGAACCAGTTTTTAAGATATTTATCGATGCTTGTCTAATTGGCGGCGAAATATAAAGATCCAATTTACATATATTAATAAGAAAATAACAATTTAATCAGTTAACGTATTTGTACATTTATTGTTAATAATCCAATCGCGGTGGCATATGCCTTGCCTCCAGCTCGTGTTCGATTTCCTTCATTCGCAACAATAAGCTAAAGTTTTGTTTCTCCTCTTTGCCGGTCAGATACATGGTCAAAAATGCCTGTATGACAATTATTGTGCTAAGAGCGGGTATAATTGGACGCGTAAACTTATGATACAGCATTAAAACCTCTCTGGGACTTTCCGTTATAGAAGGCAATCGGTAGGTATAGCATCTGGTCGCAAACATGAATGCAGCAAATGGTGCCAGTATCGTGGGATAGACAACACCTAAAGCTGTTTGGAAGGCGGCACTGCGCACTTGCGTGCACACAGGACACTCGGCTAGAGGATTCAGTAGTAATGGGCGCTGTATAAAGAATTTGTGACTCAACATTGTGAATATCGCAGGCACAGCCACAATGGGCAAGTAGCTGGAGAAGCGACCATTTGCGCCCAGACGCAGACGTGTGCGGTAATGGTTATTAACGTAGGCGCCCGTAGCTGCCGCTAAGGCGCTGAGTATGCCGGGCGTATACCGCAATGACCAGCTATGTATACACGAACATAAAGAGGCTATCAGTCAGTGGTTAGGTAAGCGGCATGAATTGAGTACATACACATCTCCAAGCTTGTCCCAGGATGTTATGATCTTCCACTGATATTGCAGAGCCTGATCTTCCGTTATGACAACTGCATCGGCTGGTAGTTGATCGGGCTTGCCGCGCGATAAGGCCATACTTTAATTAATAATCAAAATAAAATGCACATCAGCGGCACGAGTATCAATAGAAAAAACAGCTGAGCGCCAATGCGGTGGCAGTGTTGTTAAACGTCAACAGCGTCATTCACTTTCAACCGGGCTGTAAATGTTTAAAAGCTAAGCAAATTTATTTGTATTTTACATAGATTATAAAAATGCCGCACAAGCGCAAAACACGTTTTCAATATAATCCGAAACAAGTAACGCGTCGCGTACAGCTAACGACATCAGCACCCAATGTTTGCGTTAAACCCGACAATGGTTCGCATATAGAGAACATAATGCCCGAACAGCGACCGGCGCAGCAAAGGGCAACTCCTCAGGCAGCTGGCAATAAATTTGCGGTGCCACAATTTAACACAATGATACGCAGCCAGGCTGAGGTGGCCACATTGCAGAAGATGCGCGTTGCTGCAACTGGTCCAGAGTTAACGCCCCGCAGCAAGGCGGCCATCGCGCCCAAGGTATGCATGAAGGCATCAGCACCAGCCATAATCCCAGATACATAAGAAAAGTCTACTTTTAACTTTTAGCTTACACAAAAGATGAACTTCCCACAAGCCCGTACAGTATTCAGGGATTTGATACCAATTAATGTGAACGATTCGCTGCGCGAAATTGAGCGTCCCAGAATTATAAAAGCCAAGGATCCGAGCAAATCGAATATAGCGGAGCCCGTACTCGCCGATTATGTAGAGAAAATTGAGCATGTGCAGCTTTTAATGCCAGAGCCGGAGCTAATAATGGAATTTCCAGACGAAGAATTTGATTTTCTGCGTGCCTATAGAAAAGTCTATCGCTACAAATAACAACAGAGTCATTTAATGTTAAATTATACATTTAATCATAGCGTATAAATGAAGAATGGATTGTAACAGCGTGTTTTACTTATAAGTTAGCCAATGAAGTTCATGACAACCAAGAACAGAATTACATGCGCAAATATAAAATCGGCAAAACCGCGCTCCGGCGAGATGCCCGCAAATACGGCCTTATTTTGTGGATTTGCCTGGAGACGCAGACAAACGGCCAGCACAAAGCAGCTAACAGTGCTGATAAAGCCCGACAGAAACGAATTGAAGGGAAATGTGCCCACCAGGCAGCAGTAAACAAATTGTATGATGCCGGTAAGCAGAATGTAGCCCAAGTAGATGTCCACTAGCTTAAGCTTTTTCGGTGTGTTCTGCACGTAGTCGTTGTAGAACTTGGATATTACGCTGCTGATTTCAACCATTTTTTTTAGCTTTAATATTATGTGTTTTCGGCAATAATTAATTTTATTTTGTTATTAAACGAAACGCAGACACGTCACGCAAAACGCCTGGCAACTAGTGTTGCAAGACGCGCTCAATTTGGCCGTAGCGCTGTGAATGGCTAGTAAATGCGTGGGCAAGAAGCAGCAGACCAAGTGTCTTGGTTTTGTTTTGGTTGTCGTCTCGTCATCATTGCTACTTAGAAGGTATTATTTTTTAACATGTGCGCTTGGAAAATATTAATGATATTAAATATATTTTGTTGAAATGCAAATAAAATAGCTTTTAAGCATATTTGTTAAAGTGTAATTCAAACTTGCCAGACAGCATTTCTGCGCGTTCCGTTAATTGCCTGCCTGTGTGTGTATGTGTTGTGCAATAAAAAACAGTTGTGGTTTAGATAGAATAACATGCGTATGTACATATGTATATATACACAAACAAATATGCATGTATAAGCAACATATGTTTAACGAGAATTTGTGTTGATACTAAAGTAACGGTGGAACTTGTTACTCAAATAACTTTTGCTATTTGATCAACAGGAATTCTGCAAAATTCTGCGTTTGCGTCGACATCGTGACCTTCGCTGCGCCACAACCATTGCCAGTGTCAGCAGCGCATAAATAAAATCAATGGAAGACTTAACCCCATTGACCAATCTTCAACAGGTATGTACAAAATAATTGGCATAGCTTCTACATTAAATTTCATTCAAATTTCTTTTTTATTTTTCTTACAGTTTTAGTTGAATGTTTTTATGTTTTCTTAACTGCCAACACAAGCAACGCGACCACTGCCCGCATATATCCAATTACAACAATATCTTATCTACAATTTTTATTTGTAAGTGTTTATTGCATGTCATTAACAACAATTTTTGCTTTGTGGGTGCTTGTGCACGGCTCTAATTAACAAATGAGTTTCGTATTTTGAGCTGCTCAGAAATGCGAGAATATGAACGTGTGCCTAGACAGTCCGAGTCTGGGCCTATGTCTGGTCTGGGTCAGGGTCTGCATCTGGGTGTGTGTGTGTGTGTGTGTGTGTGTGTGTGTGTGTGTGTGTGTGTCTGGGTCGAATTGTTGTTACAGTCACGAATCGAATAGTTCTCATTTCGACTGGGTTTTCACTATCTGTCTGTAAACTATCTCTCACGCAACAATACGCTATCATTTTGGGTTTCCTGGAAATTTAATATTAAAATAAAAACAGCGAGAAAGAAGGGCTATCTTCGGTACGCCGAAGATTTAATACCTTTGCAGAACCAACCTTTTCATAGTGCTTTGCCCGTATCTAAGAAGCACAGGGAAAATAGTTAATGCCGAGTTAAGATATCTTGAAAAACAAAAAAGTTTTCCGTGCAAGAACCTAATTTTCGACCGATCGTTCATATGACAGCTATATGATATAGTGGTCCGATCCAGCTGGTTCCGAAGATCTTCTGCAAAGTTTCACAAAGAAAGTTTTTAAACTGAGAGATTAGTTCGCATAGAAGCAGACAGACGGACAGACGGCCATGGCTAGTATGTCGACTCGACTGTTGATACTGAACAAGAATATATATACTTTATGGGGTCGGAGAAAATTCTAATACCCTTTGAAAGGGCATAATAAACGCTCGCAAAATATAACGCTTCGATTTCAATTTACCTGACAATAAGTTCAAAACTAATGATAATGATAAAGTGGTTGCTCGCAAAAAAAAAATAACACTTTGCTTTTAATGGTTATAATTTGTTAAGAATTCCCATACATTGAAGCCTTATTTATCAAATATAAAAGTAATTTTCGACATTTTGAATGTCCATAATCCATTATCAGTCTATGTTTTATATATATCTGAAATGTTTATTATTATATGCATATATTTTCTTAAATTTAAACGTCACAAACGTGTATACTAAACGATTTGCTATATTCCTAGTTTGTTGTATCTCCATTTGACACAGTTAGATAACTAAGCGTGGACAAAGCCCAAAGCAAATAAGAGACTTTTATAATCTGTATAAAATGTAATTATTAAGTCATAGTCTACGGACTTTATCAAAACGTGTGACAGAAATCATTTAAATTCCTTGTGTTAGATTTGTGATAGTATTTTAATGTTTGTATTTACTTTTTAGTCTTGAACTATTTCTCAAACGAAAGTTTTGCTGGGCGTATTTCAGCTCTGATATTGATTTAATTCATGCATGCTATAGAACACAATTTGACAGCCTATATATTGTATGATATATTCACAATTCTTATCGGCTGTGACTTGTTTTCGTGTCTGAGCCTCTGGTAGGGGGCTGAATATGCCCAAATCAAGTGAGTCACTGGCCTCCTCGATTTGATATCGTTTTATGAATAATGCGCATATGAACATACATATTAATATATATATTTGTATATATATTAGTGTAATCTAGTCAAGCTTCCAACTGGCCGCAAATCAAATCAAGTCCAAGTCCAAGGCTTGGATTTCATATCAGTTATAGTTGCAGTGGCACACGCAAACAAAATTTTCCACTCCTCCGTTATCCCTTATCACGCACTATCCGAGTCCCTACTTCGACTTTCAGTTCGCTGTACAGAAAGAGAAAAAAACAACAAAACTGAGTCAGCGGAAAATTTGCCAGACACAAAAGCGGCGTTTACAGCGATTCGGTTTTCAGTGTAACTTCAGCTGGCGAAGCAAGCGCATCGACTGCCCACATACTCTCACTGACGCACACAGACACAAATACACAGTTCAACAGCATTCATTGAGGTTTCTATTCATTTTTGTTTTTTGTGGCCTGCTCCCTCAACTGATCGGACAGATCGCCGATCCCGCAAAGCGCAAGCCGAAGATGTCCGAACGACAACCGTTGCTGCTGCAAAGCGACGCCTCCGATTATGAGGGCAATCGCGGCGGAAGCGATTTAATCCGGCCACCGGTACGCAGCTCACCGCCGGACAGTACGCTGGTCAATGTGCACAGCGAAGACAGCATCGCAGGTAAGTGCATTGCTTTCCATGCTTAACAATTACCTAAAGTGGCATTTAAAATTGACAAAATTTTCAAAGAGAAGATTAGACGCTGCGAAGAAGTAAAAGGAAAGAAACTCTTTTGCCGAAAAATCTATGAAATTGACAAAGTCTAGATATATAAGTCTTAGATATACGAAGTCTAGATATACGAATTGCTTTCAATCTGGACTTCATTTTTTAGAAACCCTTTTTAAAAGTAGCTTACTCTTTTTGATTACACTATTTGTAGAAGCCTTTGGATATTTATTGTTATAGAGTATTTAAATATTATTCGTTTCGATTTGCGAGCCTTCACTGTACTAAAGTATTTCGATTTGGACAAGTTTTCTCGGAAGTTATTGGAGAATTTATATGGGCTCGCGAATATCGCAGCGTTACACACTTCGTTACAATGAAATCATACCCGCTGCAAGAGTATTAAGTATACATAATTCATACTTTTGGGTACAGCTCATAGTTTCGTTATTTCATGTATCTCTTTCGCCCTATTTCGCACCTGTTTACACCGCCCACATGCTAGCGAAATATCGCAGGCAAATGTCAAAGATGACGTCACAACTAGCTGAAGACCACAACATGTGTGCTTGCGGATCGCTAGTTGGGACTTATAGCTGGTCGCTTTGATCTCGAATTAATATCATTTATAGTGTGTAAATTGTGTAGCTAACGTCCACTTCATAATATTTGACATTATTTGGGCGCCACTTTAAGTAAATGTTAGCATAGCATAAACAAATTATAATTGATTTATTAATTCAAATTAATTCTGCTAACACAGTGCACGCCGCAGCCGCTGGCGGCGATGATGACGAGCAGAGCAGCCAAACGGGCGAGGAGCACAGCAAATCGATCTACAATCCCACACATCATCGCACACTGGAGCATCCCACATCGAATTTCGATACGTTGGTGCATCTGCTGAAAGGCAACATTGGCACCGGCATATTGGCCATGCCGGAGGCGTTCAAGAACGCGGGTCTCTATGTGGGCCTCTTTGGCACGCTGATAATGGGCGCTATTTGCACGCACTGTATGCACATGCTGGTCAACTGCTCGCATGAGCTTTGCCGGCGACTGCAGCAACCGTCTTTGGACTTTTCGGAGGTGGCCTTTTGTAGCTTTGAGACGGGTCCATTGGGCCTCAGACGTCACTCGCATTTGGCGCGACGTGTTGTCACCACATTTCTGTTCATCACACAGATTGGCTTTTGCTGCGTTTACTTTCTGTTTGTGGCACTAAATATCAAGGATGTGATGGATCATTATTTCAAGATGGATGTACGCATCTATTTGCTGTTGATGCTGTTGCCCATGGTGCTGTTGAATCTGGTGCGCAACTTAAAGTACCTGACGCCCGTCTCTTTGATTGCGGCTGTGCTGACCGTGGCTGGCTTGGCCATTAGCTTCTCCTATATGCTGCACGATTTGCCTGATACGCATACGGTCAAGCCAGTTGCCACCTGGGCCACTTTACCGCTATATTTTGGCACAGCCATCTATGCGTTTGAGGGCATTGGCGTTGTGCTACCGTTGGAGAATAATATGCGCACACCCGAGGATTTTGGTGGCAGCACAGGTGTCCTCAACACGGGCATGGTCATTGTCGCCTGCCTGTACACCTCCGTTGGTTTCTTTGGCTATCTAAAGTATGGCGAGGCTGTTAAGGGCAGCATTACGCTCAATTTGCCGCAGGGCGATTTGTAAGTATACGATATATTTATGCTGTTTTATTGATTAACATACATCAATTTCGCCCGTTTACAGTCTATCGCAGCTGGTACGGATTTCCATGGCCGTGGCTATATTTCTGTCCTACACCCTGCAATTCTATGTGCCCGTCAACATGGTGGAGCCCTTTGTGCGCAGCCATTTTGATACAACGCGTGCCAAGGATCTGGCGGCTACGGTGCTACGCACGGTTATGGTCACATTTACCTGTAAGTCAGCTCCAGCGTATAAACACATTTTCCTGTTCAGCCCATTTCTTTATGCTCCTAGTGTCATGTCCGTCTGTTGAGCCATATATGTGTCTGTTTTATTGAACGCGACTCGGTCAGGCACTAAAAAATTATACGATCGATTATATAAAATTACCGATAATTCGCCTTGTCCCCCCAGCTGGGGATTTTGTGTACAATTTGGAACATAGTTACCGTATACCAAAAATCGTAGTTATGTGAACTAAAAGCTTTCAGTAATAACTCATACGGTTTCCTTGATATCGATAAATATCGATTTTACACTACATTTATATTCAAATCATGTTTTATGCCGCATTTTATAACGAGTTTTTATGTACTAGATGGGATGAAATATCATCTCCAATAGGAGATCCGTACAATGAGAACTTGTAGGTTCTTGACAGTGTTGCCAACTGTCGCTTCAAAAAGTAGCTAAAAAATAGCTACAAGCAGCTAAATTGGCTTTTTGGCAACAAAATAGCAATAAACAGCATTGTATTTGCCATTTAGCTGCGAAAAAGTGGCTGAATCAGTTAAAATATCAGCTTTTTTCGACGGATAATTAATGAAAATAGCCAAACTCGGCGTAAAAGTGGCAAAAGTTCAACTGTGAGATCTAAATACTTTGCGCGAGTGTTTGGAGCATTTCTTCTATATTTCATATCGCTTTCACTAGAAAACTTTGTTTCGGTTTGCTCTCATTGTGCTCTCTCTTTGATGTCCAATATATCGTTTAAATATATATGAGTGTGTGTGCTGCACAATTTGGAATTTGTTAAACTTAGTTCGCTTTCTTTCCTTTTGACTTACAAGTTATGTGACAAAATTAAAGGGTTTGTCACGACCATATGGCAAGTTTTGATGGGATTAACCGAAGTATTTCCCTATTTGCATGAATATTTTTTAGGGTTGAGTATTACATTTTTCTAATATTGAAGTGGTTTCTTTCTAGTTATATTGGCCGCCGTTATACCAAATCTGGGCTCGATTATCTCGCTTGTTGGTGCCGTCAGCAGCTCCGCTTTGGCGCTCATTGCGCCGCCCATTATTGAGATTATAACATACTATAATGTGGGCTATGGCCGCTATAACTGGATGCTTTGGAAGGATTTTCTAATATTAATATTTGGGCTGTGCGGTTTCGTTTTTGGCACTTGGGCGAGCTTGGCACAAATTCTGAATCCGAGCATAGATTAAGTGCATCCAGACTCCAGCAGCTCCTCCAATATTTAATGATCGTGTGCGAATTTATGACGAAGGCTTTACTGTAGTCTTTTTACTACAACTCTACGATAAGTTTTTGTTTTTGATTTAGATAGATATATTTTTATTTGTGTTTAGTTTGAACGTTTAGTTTGCTTTTGTTGCCCAAGCACCCAAAGACGTTGACGTTAACAGGTGCTTCATTTTGAATCGATTTTGTGTTAGTAATCTTAATATGTTAGTCGATTTTATTTATTTTAATTAAGCGCAAATAATTCGTTTAGTACCAGACAATAATTAGCATTTGTAATTGTGGTTTTATGTCTTTTTATTTTGTTTTTTGTATTGTCTCATGTAAAGTTACTTTTGTTAAGGTAAAGTTTTCTTCTTTCTGTACATTTTTAATCGAGTATCGCACAATGCCAAAAGTGATTTCGTATAGTATTCCTAAACAATGTTTGTTTAGTTTTAACTGTTTACTGTTTTAGATTAAGGTCAGCGCCGCTCATTCCAATTGCCAATGGCCGCAACAAATTGTGTTTGAAAATATATAACTACGTATAGCTTAATTAATTTATGTGTGTGATTTCAGACGACATTATACTCTATACCATTTAGTAGATATATTTATATATATCTAGCGAATATATTATACATACAATAACTATATATATAACACACACACACACACAACACACGTACAGCAGCTACATATGCTGTGAAATATGTCTAGTTGTGAGGAACACTCTAATATATAGTTCTCACAGTTCTTGATAATTGCTGGACACATTTCACACTATATGTTGAGTATACGTACATCAATATATAAGTACATATATGACAGAGATTTGCTTTTTCAAACTCTGTAATTTATGACAACAACAAAATCTGTAATTTCATTACAATTTTCAAACAGTAACTAAAGACAATAAATAATTGCGTTTAAAGTTTGTAAAAATCCATTAAAATGTTTGCCTTTCTCTTCCAAAAAGACTGCACCATGTCCGTACATGGCCTATAATAATAATAAATAGATACGTTTGCGAAATATTGATAGCGAACCGCGCGTCGGGCCCACTTGTTGAGCGCTGACCTAAGTTCTTGCTATCAAAACATGGAAAGCACAACTCTATTTGATAGCATGGACAGGGACTATCTGTAATCGCATCTGGAATCTATGATAATACAAAAGCGTAAATAATCTTTGCTGCAAATATAGTTCGAAATATAATTCAGCTGAGTGACTAGACATGTCATGCAGCTATATACTGAACTTACAGCTGTAGAAACAATTTTGCTTGGAGATATCCGTTTTTTTTTATAGGTGTCGATATACATATCTTAACGTACAAGCTTTTAACTATCAAGCATATATTTATTTTTATCCCGCAAACTTACAAAATATCTAAACCATATGCATATTTTCTTGTTAATATGCTGCTAAATATTTAAAAAAAAAAACATCTTGATCCACATTCAAGAGAATTCTAAGAAATATATTTTTATCAAAATTATTTGCAATTTCTGAGAATATTTTCATGAAAAATAGTTACAATCGATCTTGGTGCAATGCCTGGCTAGCATGTTTGCGCTTATAATTCCCAAGTGCTGATTCGCGGTCGCTCACGTATATAACTGGGGTTGAGCCGCAAGATTGTTTGTGTTGTTTGGAAGGAGAGCAAGTTAGCACTCCCCTAGACAAGGATGGAACACACAAACGAACGGCGGGGCACAAGACGATGCCGTTCACAAGTTTTTTTTATTAATTATTTTATTTTATTTACGTGAGTAAAAAGAAGTGCAAATAGTTTATACCATAATGCTGCTGCCCTTGCTTTTGATTACCCATTTAAATTTAATTAAAGGGTATAATAATTATGCGCAAAGAGAAGTTGGCTTTGCCCCGACCCTATAAAGGGTATACGTATATATATATGTATATATTTATATGCTGATCAGGTCGGCGACTCCCCATATCATTGATAATTAAAAGATTATGCTTAGTTTTGTGTGGTCACATAACTTTTGAATTTATTTGCAATTTGAGTGCTGAAAGAAGCCGCTTATTCGCATGGAGGATACCATTGCCAGGAGCTCCATGCAACGCAAGTCGATGTTTTGGGATCAAAGCCGGTCTGCTCATCGCATAATACGGCGGTGGCCGTATTACCCTGGCATACCCAGTAGCGAGTGGGATCCCAGTTGTTGCGGTACCTTGTGGAGCTGGTGCCAGAGCAAGTGGGCTGTCCATTGCCATCGGGATTGCAATCGGCGCCATAGGCGACCGCCACGAACAGGGCCAGGCAGAGAAGAACGAAAGCTTCGGTAATGGAATCGAATGGAAATGTATATATATAATTAGCTTGATATATAGGAAACTTTCAATTCTAAGTACAAAACTCACCTGCTTTCATATTGGTCAGAGTCAGACAAGTGAATGCTTCTGAATGTGCCCAACCAGTCCGATTGGCACAGTTTATATACGCGGTTGACGTTGCCTTTCCCAGCCTGATATCTGGCCTGGCTGTAATTATTCTAGTTCTTTATTAATACAACTTATCTAACGATGTTGTGTTCTTGTTTGTTATATGAATGGTTGTGCTCCTCGTGTATTGATAGCTTCGTTGTTTCATTCAAAATGAAAACGTTCAAACTAATCTGGCTGGGGCCTTAAATCTATTGCACTATCTAGACATATGACTAGTTAACCGCCGCCTAATTGCCTGATTAGTAAATCCGTAATACACTACGCTCAGGTAAATTTCGAATTTCGTGAATTATTGTATCCTAATCAAACTCAAGCTCTGCATTAAAAAGTATATTTGGAAATGCTTGAGGCTTATAAACAAACTGCAGAGAATAATTAATTCGAATGCTTAGATGGTGTGAAAATATTTTCTATGTTTGTGGGAATCTCGATATACAAGATATTTTTGGATCTATTCAAATATTTGCTATCTGTAAAAGTTAGTCATTTTTTTTTCCCTTGCAGACGATGTTATATATATAAATATAATAAGACTTGGCCTGTTTTTATGAAAAAGAGACTCTCAGTTCTCTATATCCTAAAGCTATCAAAGGAATTTATTTATAAGATATCTTGACCAAACTAGAACCAAGATAGTATTAATAATTTATTATGTAGCTCAATAGGAAGAATATAAAACAGAGTTTTTAATGGAAAAAATTGGAAAAAGCTTTAAAAAAAAAATTCCTTTTTCAAGGCTCGAACCTGGAACCCCTCAACATCCAAGAGTTTCATTCGGCCCTCTAATGATTATTGCGAATATTTATCAAAAATTATACTACGACAAGGCTCGAACCTGCGCCCTCATCATTTTCACAGCGTCGTCAGATATTGATTACAAAAAATAGATATAGTCACATAAAACTTTGATTTATTTGGAATTTGCGGATAGGCGCGGGCGTGCCAGCTGCTTCAAATGACGCAGTCAGATGCTGTAACAGACCGCCAACATCAGGGCTAGGCAGAGTAGGACAAAGGCTGCGAAAGACATCTTCTAATACTAGATGATATATCTATGGTATTTTACTCGAAACTTACAAGTTTCCAGATTGGTCAGTGTCTGACGAATACGTGCTACTGCACTTGGCTACATAGTTTGATTGCGTAGGCGGTTCCTATCTCGCCCCGATACGTCGAGTGAAAATACAATAGTATTTTATAAATACATCATTATCTAACAATGTTTTCGTCGAGAACATTATAAAAAGTTAAAACTAATCTATTTGAAGAAGTCAATCAAAATTCGCAATTTCCGCATGACATCCTGAACTTAATGAAAAATTGGGGGCTTGGGGAATATTAAAAGGAATGCATTAGAAATCAATGGAATGCAAAAATCAGGAGTACGAAAATGAATATATATAGTTTATGAGTATAATAGTTCGAAATTCCTCTCTTTTTTTTGAGAAATGGAACTAACCAGAAATTGGAGAATACCAGGTATAATTTTGTTCAAATATCACTTTGATTATATACCTTTATATATGATAGAGTATTTTTTTATATATGATATTACTTAAAATAATGATATCATAAATTAGAGGTTGCCTCTCTTATTTCCTCGGTAAATTGCCAGTTAACAGGAGCGAGAGGATAAATTTTGGTATAAACCAAAGTAGGTGTCAAAATTATCAGTACAAAAAAAATTAAAAAAATTTAAGGCACAAAACAATCAGAAATCGAGAAGCTAACGATAACAAAATGGAAATGAAAATATTGAAAGATTTTCGCGAACTGGAAAGATCGGTGCGCTGGTTTCGTGGCTTGTCAGCCAAACAGGTCAGTGCATGCGACCATTTGTTGCACGCCTTGCGCGACGATATTGAACAGGATTCGACATATCGTGTGCGCGATTGCCTCAATCTATTGGGACTGCAACCGATGATTAATGCCAATCAGTCGAGGGTACTGATGGGCATTAGTCAGGGCAACGATTTGGCCTTTCTCTGGTTCTTGTGGGAGTCACACTACAAGACGCCACACTCCTGCCAGGAGGAACGCAATAAGTACACGGTCAACGAGCAGTTAATATTCACAGCTATAGCTCATCTGGACATGACATCGACACTGCGTGGCCTGGACAAGATATTGCCCACTGCGGAACATTCTAAGAAATATCAAGAGCAGCAGCGTCTGCGACAACAACAAAAGCTCGCCAGACAGCTGCGCAGAAAAATGCAGATGAATAATCACATATGGCCCAATGATGCAGCCAAGGACTCACCGTATTTGGTGCCGCAATTGCGACCCAAGCTATACCTGCCCAGATCATTCAAGCCCAAGGAGCGTTCAGTGAGCTTTTCACAATATGAACAGTACAGGGATCCCATGTACAACATACCCAATGAGAGTTCGCGCTGGTTTGCCACCTACGAGCTGTCGCCGATCAAGCGCGAGGTGAAGCGTTGCCTGTCGGATGCACTGGCACAGCTCTTTGCCAGCAGCAGTGTCCGGCCATTGGATAGGTCGCTGTGTCAAGTGCATCGCATGATTGAGCATACGTCGGCTCGTAAGCGACAGGAGTTGACGGTGGAGGCAGTAAGGAGATGCATGCAATTGCTGGACGTACCGGGCACACAGAAGCGCCAGCGCGCCGATTGCATTGTGCGCCAGCTGGAGCGGGAGGTGTTGCTTGCCGCCAAACTGCTGCGAGAGCACAACATGCGGCAACTGATCGCGCTGCAACAGGTTGGCATCGATTACAAAAAATGCAGGGGCGGATGTCAGGCATGCGAGCAGATGGTTTCGGTTGTACCGTTGCCTCGCAATGGTACCGGTTGTCCGATTGATGTTGCATTGATACTACCAGAGGATTCGGATAGGCCTGAACAGCCGTTGTTGCACGATGACGACAATAATTCGGGCGTGCATGTCATGGAATGGGGGCACGAGAAGAAACACAAGACCATCCGCATAGTGGAAGATCGAAACAAGCCTCCCGGCCAGACTTGTTCTGGGCCCAAGGTGCGTTCGCCCCAGTTGCCTAAGGCTCAGCCTAAGGCTGATAAAAAGATTAATGTCCATATTGAAGATAAATCCATATTAACTAAAACCTCAGAGGAAAAGTACTGCGTCAGTCGCTCCCTGCCACACGGCATGCCGGAATGGAATTTCTTCAAGGTCTTTGAGCCGCCGCTGCAGTCAGACACACTTGGAGTCCTGTCCGATGCCCAACCGCTTATACATAGCTATTGCATTGCGGCACTCCAAAAAGCGATAGAGGCCAGCGAAGAGACGGAGGCGCAAAAAGTTTATGGCAGAAAGCACATGGACCTTGTCAGGCTGAGGGAATGGAACACATCCCGCACAGCGCTGGAAGCCGCTAACAAAGTGGCCGCACATATGTTTCGCGATGCCCAGGAGAAGCTAACGCATTACGTCGATCAGGAGAAATCTGATAAAACGGAACGTCTGGAAATGACCAACATCGATCCGGAGAACTCACAGATGCTGATGGCGCTACTCAAACAAGCTGTGGACATATTGAAAAATGATGCCCATTATGTTCTGGCCACCCTGCCCAATGCCTACAAGTTGCCCGTGCTGCTCGACTGGGTGGCGGAGCGTTATGGGAAAACCTATAGCTATAAGCAAATGTGCGCATTGGCCAACACCAGCCAGACCGTCCACGAGCATCTCACTAGAGAGGCAATGAAGAGGGAACTTCCATTGCCGAAATATCATAAGTTTATTGGCAGACAGCTGTTGAACGAAGATCTTAGCCATTATCGGAGGTATATGTGTGGATTTAAGAAAATGCGTCAGGAATATCATCAGAGACTGAATACGATCGCACTCGAGGAATCGCGTCTGGCTTGGCTCGCACTGCGCGGCTTTACCCAGCTGCCCGGCTCCAATCCGAAAACCTTTTTTGCCTATATGCCCGCCAAGCAGCAGGATTTGCTGCGCCATAATCTGTGGCAAGCGTTGGACGTTCGTCGTATTGAAAAACTTCGCCAATATGCCAAGGAGCGAAAATTAGCAGGCACTGTCTGATGCAGTGGCGAATATATTGAATGTGATTGTCAATCAACTTCCCCTCAATATGCTCGCCACTGCAACAATGCGCCAGCTAGAGTACTTAGATTCAACATATAAATTATTTTCAATGCAAATGATTAGTGTTATCCTACAATTGAATGCATGGAAGTGAATGGCTCAAATTTTCTTAAGCTTTGATTAGCGGGCGCATTGCTGAAAAAAGAGGTTCTTTTCGTAGGTCGCCTCTCTATGCGCTTCTCATAAAGTCTTTTAAGGCACCGGATTTTGTTGTACTTGATTTATAGCAACATAAAAGTTTGACTTGTTATTTATTTAATTAGATTTGATTTGCTGCTTTCTTTTAAAGTCAAAATTACGTGAGAGCGGGTTCATATTTGATACTATATATAAATCAATAGAGCACTTCGGGCCATCTATGTATGATATCATTTGTGAATTTAGTTATATAGATCATTTTTGGAGCGCGTCATCTTTCACACGAGTCTATAATCTGTGATAAGAGCTACCGAAAATTGTTTCATTTCCCCAACACTCTCACCATGTATCGCATTTCGATAGCGTTTCTACTGATAGCTGCACTTCGCACGTTTCTGATAAGAATGAAGAACCGCAAACTTTCGGGACAGTCGAATGTACAATTGGAAACGTTTCAATCGGATCGAGACGATTCGATCACATTGACAAGGCCAAACGAAATTTTGCATTCGTGTTTGCAGAAACTGAAAATACAAAAAAAAAATTCAATTATTTTTTTTAGTTTGCCAATGTCAAGAAACTTGCGCAAGAGCTTCTAACAAATTGGGCACGCCCCAAGCTGCGCCGCCTCGCTCAGTGAATGCAGCGAACACGAACGGCGTTAATTTCTTAACTATCTGCAAGCGAACAGCATTTGCGAGGGCTGCCTGTTTATTTGTGAGCTTAAAGTTGATGTAAATTGTATTTGCAAAATACTCTTATCTTCAAAGTGTTCTTGTTGAAAAAATTCAACTAACCGAGGTTTGGAAGATGACGCGCAAATTAAATCATTATATATAGAAGGCCCGAACTGCTGTAGTGATTTATATATAGTATCATGCATTTTATATGATTATAACTACCTTTACCAAATAGAATTACCTTTATGAGAAGCGCATAGATAGGCGATTCACGAAAAGAATTTCTTTTATTCGACAAAACGCACGAGCAAACGCGTCACGTTTGGGTAAATATGAATTACAAATATAATTGTTTAAAAAGTACAACTAAGGTTTGAACCTGAGCTTAAAGATGTGTAAGCCGTCTGCTGGTTCGAACCATCGAAAGTGTTTATAGTGCTAGCAAATGTTAAACTTGTTCAACACGAACAGTGTTGGCAAAGCTGAAAAGGCAGCCCTCGTACAGTGATCGCAGCGAGGGTCACTCTCTGAGTTTTATTAATAAATACGGTAAGTCATGAAGTAATGCCAGGCATTTATTTATTTTTATAAACTTTATTTTATTAACCAGTTGCTGGCAAATTGGCAACTACACGCGTGCTGGCCAAGTTAATGAAGCCCGCGTGGAAAAGTGAAACACACTAACGTGCACAATTCCACAAAAATAATACAATAAATACATATGTACTCTCTGGCGAAAGAACTCGCCCAGTTGGCGACACTAATTGTCAATGATTGCGCGACAGACGACGGCATCGTCGTCACCGTCAGCCATGCGTCCAAGACGCTCACAATTTTAGGCTTAAATTGCCAAAGCGCAATTTGTCGCCAGTTGTGGTACAATATATGCCACTCATCTGGCATGTGGCATGTGGCAACTTTCTGGGCAAATATTTTATAAAGTCGTTGGCATCGCACTGCAACGCACTTAGTCGCAATGTACGCTAACAAACGGAAACTAGTACTCGGCCAACTGGGCCTCTGGCTCTGCCTGTGTCTGTGCCTGTGCCAGGAGCTGTGCTGGGCGCAAAATTCCAGCACCGTGGTCTGGGAGCCAAGCACTGCCAGCGGCAATGCCAATAAGCGCGAGGTGGGCAACAGATTGGATTATGCGGGCACTAACATAGCCAAAAGCTATGATCCGCCGCCGGAATTCTATAGAGGACCGGGCACCACATCAAGCGGCAGCTCCACAGCCAGTAACAGTGCTAGCAGCCTGCTTGGTTCCACGGGCGTCGGCAGCGGCTCGCAGCTGGGTAACGTGGGTGAATCTCTAAGCGAGGCGTACAACAAGTGGCGTCAGAGCACTGGCCAGCACGAGCGGATTAGTGTGGGTACGTAAAGCAGCGTGGCTGATCAACAAGGAACTACTACTATTACAAACAACACGAATACAACAGGTCATTTTGGTGGTGGAGCAGGCGCTGGTCTTGGTGCGCATATACAAAGTCCACATGGACACGCCAGCTATGCTTACGAAGGACATCCCTATGAGTATGTTGGAGGCGCCGGCCATGGTGGCTACTATGGCGGCAGCGGCAGCAGCAGTGCCGAGGCGGGCATACCATTCGATGTGTACGGCACGCGTCCAGGTCATGGCTCACATCATTTACATCATTATCCGGGCACGGGCGGTGAGTACGCCTATCTGGAAGCACACGATATAGCCAGCCACAAGGGACCGGCGGAGTTGTCGCAGAAGGCGCTGCTGGCCAAGAGTTTTCTCATACCACTGGCCAGTGCTGCAGTGCTGGGCATAGCCGCTGCTCTGGTCAGTAATCCGCTGCTGCTGCAGCTGGGCACCGTATCCGGTGTGGGCGGTGGATTTGCGCCCGTTGTGGGCAAACGCAAGAGACGGGCGCTGCGTCGCGCCTACTCAGCGCATAAATAACGTCTATTAAACTTTTTAAATTCTTACACATTTTTGAAATGTTTGCCAAATAAAACGGGCATACGTAAATATCTGACAAGAAGAAAATTTAATTGTGAAAATCCTTTAACTAACAATTCTATTCAAACATGACTCATGTTAATAATTTGGCGCTAAATAGTGTACAGCAAAAGTTATCGATTGCAACAGCTCTGCATCGCTGTTAACTAACAGATTCTGTTAAGCAGCTGAAGAGCTGTTAAATTTGAATTTCGAATTTGGTGTCTACGAATTTATACCTTTCATATGTAAGTAAATAAAAAATAGAGCAACAAATTGAATTTAAGAGCTAATAATTACTGTAAAAAGTAAATCCCAAATGTGTATCAACTTTGACCCACCATATCGTCATCATGTGACTATTGTCCCTAACAGCTCTTTAAGTTAACTAAAGTAGGTAACACGCTTCTTGGCCACAACTCATTTAGCGCTCAGACAGATACAAGGACATGGCGGCACACACACACACTGACACAAAAAATATATATAACAAAAAAAACTGCAACAAATGTAGTCGTTCGGGCAAACGCGGATGGAAACCATAAGTACAATAATTGAAGAAAATGTCAGCTACACACGATGCTACGTGACTTAATAATGCCCCATTGTGCGCCATAATAACGGCCACAACGTGTTGCTGCGCTCTTCGGCAGCTCTTTGGTGGCGCCTCCGTTGGTAAGTTTTCTTGTCATTGACCATTTCATGTCGCTAAGTTTATGACTGCTCCACAGGCACAAAACTTCAACGGCAGTGTTTTTTTATTCCACCCGCTCTTGCGATGTAAACTATTCAGTTTTAATTGCTAAGTTGTTTGGTTATGGCGGAGGGTAGGGGACAGGAAGGGGTTATGGTTCCAAGATTGCACTTGTGCAAGATTGTGGTTGGGTTTGACTGAAATGTGTTCAAATGAACAATTGAAATTAACCTTTCCGCTTTTTAATCATAACTGTCAATGTCATATTGGCGCAAGATTGAGGTTAGGTTTGATTGAAATATGTTAAAATGAGCCACTGTTGAAATGAACTGTTTCACTTTGCAATGAATTTTGATCATTTACATGTTCCGAGACTGTGAATGCCGCATTCACACAAGATTTAGGTTGGGATTGACTGCAAAATGTTCAAATGAACCACTATTGTATAAACTGTTTCGCCTTTTAATGATATTTCTATCTCTATCATCAACATTAAATCTATAATTTTGTTCATTCGAATAAGGTATAATGCGCACAATTACGGCTAACTATATGCCGAAACAAAATATTAATTACAATTCGGTGCGGCCAAAATGTTTTTAATAAATAACAAATGAACAAAAAATAAATATATGTACATATATATATATAAAATATGAAAAAATAAAAACCATTCAGTTAGGCTGGGAAAAACGCATCAATTTCTTCAGCTGGAAACTAATTTGCATTGCTTTTCAATAATTTAGAGCAACGTGAATTTTCACTGACCGATGCCACAAAATGCCACGCCCCCTCAGGTTGGGCTGCAGAGAACCAGCCGCAAAGTTAGTCGTGCAACCAAATGTGATTTTAGACATATATGTTTCTAATTGAAATGGGGTACAATAAAATGCTATGAACCAGATATGTAATTATTCAACAAATTAAAATCTATAAATATTGCATTTAATTTGTATGCTAAAATAATAAACATCGGTTGCTGCGGTTCGTTTTGGCCAGTTGCTACGCATACGCTTGTTTGTCAGTTGGCCCAAATGATTAAATTGCGGTTAGCTGGTCAACTGGCCAAAGGGATTGGCCCCAGCTCACAGCTCACAGCTCCAGATGACAGTAATCAGCCATTGTGTGAAGCTCGTCAGTGGGCTTTACCGTTAATAAGTTAATTAGGCTGTGATAAGTTAGTTATCCTATAATTCAAGCATATAATTTGGCTAATATTCAATGGCAAATATTGTTTATTTAAATCCATGAGAAATATGTGTAAAATTTTAATATTTTATAACAAATTAATCAAAATGTTTTATATAAATAACATTTTTTTAGTTTATCCCGCATAAAGCTCTATTGATGAAATATATAAAGTTTCCAAAAGTTTCAATCCAATGAAACTTTTTCTAAACATTTTTTTTTATTCCCATTGAAACATTTCAAGTTTGGCGTAAGTTAATTCTGCCTCCTGTAAGATATATTTAGGGTTAAATTGTGTTTCACTATTTTCAATATAGTTAATTTGAACTGAGCGCAAAGCCAATTAGTTGAACTTATTAGATCACATTAATGGCGGTTTTTTCGGTATTTTAAAATATAAAAAATGTAATCTGGCCCTAACACCATTTTAGCATTTTCTTTCAATTAAATTAAAAATACTAAGCTGCATATGATCTTAAAATTCAGGCTTTTCAAAAACAAATGATATTTTTTTTAAATAACATCTACTTTTATCATAATCTCAGATCCTAGAACATCCTTAACACAAGCCTCAGATTCGAACTCGCATCCAACTAGTCTAGATATTCAATTTTTCTTTATTTACACTTTTATTAAGTACTTTTATCTTATTTGTAGAACAACACGTCCACATGTCATATTCATCCATTCTTTGAATGGATCCATCTCCATCTCGAACTTCAATTCTGAATTCGTTTTATGTGTTGTACAACGTCTTAAGATTTTGCAAATCATACTGCACCAGTGTGGCCGCATGTTTTACACAATTTTCTTCCACTCAACGGAATGTCAGCATATTGGCTGGCACGCCCATATCATTGCCCCAGCAACAAATCACATTGACACCCACAATTTGCACAACCATGCCCACATAGTTGCGGGGGGCGCAGCCCAAACATTCTGACCATACCAGCGAGAAGAAACCAAAAACGAAAAATAGGATAACAAAAAAAAACTGAAACAAAAACAAATTACAACTGTTGTAAAGTGTCATTTTTCAAAGTGCAGAGCAATAGAGTGGGAGGTGGAGGGGTGTGCGTGGTTGGCAGCTGGGGGTAAAACGCAATGTAGAAATAATCATAATGGCCCATCGCATATTTGAGACGAAATCTTGTGTGGAAATGTTACAGAAGCAACAGCAGGAAAAAAAAAACAAAACAAAAACAATAAGAAAAATGTGAGCAAATTTCGCTGCAGCGCAAAAGAAATGAGAGACAAAAAAGCAAAACAAGAAAAGCATCAGAAAAAAAAAAAAAAAACTAAACCAAATTCCAATTTGTCAGGAATTTGTTCAATTTCAGTTTTGCTTTGTTGGGTGCTTCGCTGAGCCTCCCTCCGCTTGCCGCTCTCCGCCTAACCATCTGCATGCTCCACACGTGCCGCCATGCAAAACCATAAGCATAACGGCTGTGCCGACCTCCACTGGCCATTATGGAGCTACCACGACAAATCGCACACATTTAACACACACACACACACACACACTTACACACACACGCATGCAAACTTACGAAAAAAGTGCATACTTAACATCCACACAAAAAAGAGCAGCAGGCGAAGCAGCTGCTCAAAATGGCTCAAACAACGTCGCAGCTTGTCGCCCATTCATATCGATAGAGGTGAGCTTCTAGCTCGTGACGCGTGTCATGTCAGTCTAAGTATTTGTTGGTATATTTTAATACAAAACAACAATACAATTTTTTTTTTAAATTTCAGCTTTATATAATAATCATAAGGCACGACAATTTCAAAGGTTAGAGTGTGACGCTTACTTTTGCATATGATTAAGTGCTAAAGCTATCGATATGCATTAATAATTATATGCATGCATGTGTATACCTTCATATGTACATATGCCCATGCGTAACCTTCTTCTTGGTGAGCCTTGCGCACTTTGCTTTTGCGCTCTACACATCGCACTCTCTACTCAAGGCGACGGCTAAGCCTAATCGCCGAGCTTCAGTACGCACACAGCTTTGATCGCGATCGGTTGTATGGTGAGTAATAATAATAATTGTGTGAAACGAAATTTCGCGAAGAATAGAACTTAGCAACGCAAAAAGGAACAAAAATGGCGCGAAAATGATGAAAATATTTTGTTTCTTGTGCATGGGAACCACTGCAGTTGCAATCAAATTAAGGTATAAATACGTTTTAGCAGAAAATAAACAACAGTCGATACTGTACTAACTAACTGTTATTATGTATAACATCGATGCGTTTATATGGACGAAGGGGGGCGGACATGGGCATTGACTCTCCCGACGCTGCTGACTAAGATTATTTACATACACACATACATTTACAGAAATATGTATTTGTATAACACAAGTGCTTCTTTCTGTCTGTTATACAAATGTTCAGAAATGGTAGAGATAGTTTTATATAACTTCTTGTTAAAAGAAATACGTTAGTGGTACTGTTGTGATATAAAGCTTAGGTCGTTTTTTTTGAGCAGTTTGTAATATTTAGGCATAATATTGTTGCTTATTTTATTATTTGTTATTTACTTACTTGAATTTCTATTATGGTGCTGCACTTTTCGTGACTCACGCGCCCATCGCTAGTCAACGTAGGCAGCAGAAATTTTTGGCTGTACTTTTGGCCGCTTTCCTAATGACATTTGTATGCGGACCTGCATACATGTGCAGCAGGGCGATTTCAACTTTCTGGAGGCCCTGGTTCTTAACTCATAAGCACTGCAGCCTGCAGCTTGACTTGAAAAGTTGTATAGCGTTGAGGAGGAAGAGCTGGTGAAGGGGGGGGGGGGGGGGGATTGTAAGCGAATTGCCTTTGGCCCTGTTGGCTACCAAAATGTGCGGCATTATCGTATGTATCGAATATGCCAAACGATAACGGTAAATTTATGTTAAGTGCAAGCGCCAAAAACCAATTGTGTTGCATAATTTTAGCGCATTTAGAAGCATCGATTTACCTCTGACAAACATATAAATATTTGAAAATACAGTTGAAAGCACTCAATTGTTGGTATTCTACACAAACTCTCCCATTCCCATTCGATACATATCCCATAGCCATG